ATTTAGAAGTAAATCTTCATCAGACTTTATGCCATGCAGTATATATAACTTTTTATCCTTTACGTAACGTAAAGCATAATAAGATTCTTTGCTCCATTCTGCTGGAAGTAATTCTGATCCTTTTTCAGTTTCATTATATGCTTTCTAAAAAAAAAACAAGTATTTTAGAATAACAAAACACTATATATAATTAATTTATTATAAATTCATTTAATTAATATGAGATCGTTACTGTGTTGTAAAAAATTACTATTTTTTTGTACAGTTTACGGGATTTGTCATACGAAAATAAATACAAATTCTTTATAGGTTAGGTAATGCAATATTCGATCAGTGGATTATTATCACATTATTTGTCAATCGAATGTGTTGATTGCGTACTAATTGATGCCGGTATTGCGTGATGTACCATACTAACACTTTATATTTACTTACTGAATCGCCTAAGCCGATACACCTGAACGAATTTTTTATAAAATACCAATGAACGAATAAAATTAGGACATCCTCTTTTTTCGATACCTGGCTGTCGTATAACGACTGAAAAACTTCAAAGCCGAACGTAGAGTTGACATCAACCATTTTCTCCGTGAATGACAGGCGTGTTTCAAAGTTTACAATTCATGCCACCGACGGACCGACATCTGAATGGTGATTCAGTTTCCGGAACCGGATTCAATGATTTGGTAGTAACGTAAGATATTTAAAAAATGTCACAGTTTAATTTTGCAATACATCTTGTTAAATTTGCAGGGAATTTTTGGAACATTTGTTTTCGTGCTATGATTGATTTTAATTTAGCAATATTGTATCCCAATTTGAAAGTGAAATCGGAAAACAAATGAATGCTTAGTAATATCCAAATGTGCTGTTTACAGTAAGCTAGACAGTGTCCTCTTAAATAACAATCCTGAAAGATATTATCAGATTATGTTGTTTCAGATAGATCGTTCGCGCGTTTAACAGATAAAGTATTCAAATAATTAAATAATTAAGGATTTAAGGAAATAGGAATTTATTATATACTCGTACCAAACTACGCGACGTGGATACAAAATATGTGTATGCAGTATATATTTATATACACGTTAATTCGAATATTCTGCCAGCAGTCAATATCCATTTGCAGGGACATTTATACAAGATTCTGAATTCAGTGATTAGAATCAGAGTCAGTTTCTTCTTCATACATATTGGATACTCTTGGCGGTGATGAGCTACCCATAATTTCTTCTTCGCTTCCTGATTCATCTTTTTCCTTGTTGTCTAAAGCATATCGCCTCCAAGGAAATCTAAAAACATAAAAATATATTCCATATTATATATTGTTTTGCATAAGTTTGAAAGAGTAAAAGAATTTTTCTGTAATTATTACCTTGTTTTTTCATCAAAACAATCTTCAATAAAAGCATGTGAAACAATTTTAGTGTGACCCTTTAACTGCTGATGTTTAGGTGTATTCTTGAAGGCACATATCAAATGAGTACATTTTCTGTTTGTGGTATTAGGATCAGCAACATATTTTGCACCCATTTTTAAGGCTTTTCTTCTAATCTCATCTCTCTGTGGATTAACATATCCACTAAGGGAAAACGTGATATCTTCAAAAAGCTTTGAGAATAATTTCTTTGGCTTTTGTGGTTTGATATCTCTTTTCTTTGCAGCTCTTTCTGGTGTTGGAATCGGCTTAGGTTGTGGTAATCTTCCACAATTTTTACATATCATGTCTTCCTTGCCTTGGCACTGTAAACAGTTTTGTTTTTTCTTAATTATGTTTTCCTTCGACGAGTTTGCTTCAGGACTTAAAGAGCGTTTTCTCGAATTTATACTAAGCTTTTTATTTTCTATGTTTGAATCCTTTTTATCTGGTTTAGGTATTTTTGCAGGTACAATATCACCAAATGGTGTTCTCTTCACTGGTTCCTCAGTTGATTCTTTCTTATCTTTAACCTTAATTGCATTTATTGAAGCTGAATTGTTAGTATCTCGTTTTTTAGTTCCAAATACTTCGTCGGCTTTCCCAGCTTCCAGTTTCTCCAATAATGGCCTTTTCATCGGTTCCCTATTCTCTTCTTGACGTTTTGAGAAATTGTTCATACCAGTCTCTTTAACTTTTTCAAGCAAGCCAGCTTTATAATCTGGCTTTTTATTCTCTGTCATTCTGAGGTATTTCTCTTTAAAATTATCCACAGCGGGTTTATTACTATCTCCATCTGTCTGTTTCAATCTAAACCTCCCAAAAACATCTAATCCCAAATCAACTATAACTTCTGTTTTGAATATAATAAAAGTCAATCCGAATAACTCTTTCAAGTTGGCAGATTGCATACAAGTTACCTTAACACGGTCAAACTTTGTCTTAATTGTCTCCGGGTTTAATTCCCTCTTCGTGAAGATCTGTACTTGATCTCTGAACTTGCCGTGGGCAGCCTCGTCGTTCGTTAGAAATTGATGATTTACAATGGGTACCCAATTATCGGGTTCTGCGGCTGTAGAAGCAGTAACTACTACAACGCAACTACGATAATTGGCAATGTCCAAGCCTGTGATACAAGATGGCTCGACTAATTGAAAAATAACTGTGGCAAGCATCTCTCCTGGTTTCGCGCATCTCCATGAAGAGTTCGAGCGATGTTGCAGAAGATTGGATGCAGGATAAGATGCGTGCTCCGATGAACAACTTATTATTTTGGAAAGTTTGATGATCATTGTTGTTAATTATATTTGTTCAAGGCAACCGTCATTTATATTTAGAAATAAATATTTACGATAACATCATCTAAAAAACATCATCGTGTTATATGACAATTCGAAAACAATACATAACAAAATGAATGAATTTGACATACCGAAACGGTGCATATCAAACTGTTCGTATTCCAAACATCACATGGCTTTTTTTCTGCGAGTATCAGGTCAGTTATATCTATCCAAATAACAGAATTTAACTAATCGTGTAAATAGTCTGTATCCAGTTAATTCAACACTGTACTGTCAACATTTGCAGCAAATTTTCCCGCGAAATTAGGTACATTCGGATGATGCGAACACGGTGTACGCATGGTGTAACAATATGTACAACTGTGGCGCTTCATGCGGTGAAAAAGCGAAGCTTGATTCGGTGTCCGTACAGCGCCAATCGGTGCAGTGGCGAAACGCTCGAACTGTTAGCCAAATTCGACTGTTAGTAATTCGGCGAACAGTTCGAGCGTTTCGCCACTGCACCGATTGTCGCTATACGGACATCGTACGGAGCTTCATATCTTCTCCGACAGAAGCGCCGCAATCGCCGACATGTGCACAATGCAGGTTTACATAAAAACGTTAATTACTGTAAAATTAGACCACGAAACACTGAACCAAGGGCACAAGACTGTTCGGGAGAGTCAGCTGCATTGATTTCGCGTTAGAAAACCAAACGACAACAACGCAAAATGTAAGTAATTGACATTAATAGTCGACCAAACTTCAAAGAGCAGTTGCATATATGTAATTACGTTTCGCAATGCTGCCACTTCATTTCGGGTTAATTATTACATCGCATATAAGTAAGATACAATTTCTATAGATTAATTACAATCGCCTGGCCATCATTTAGTTCATAAGACGATGTAAACAAGCTGCGCGTTGCGAATCAACGTGCTGTGTATTTCGTCTCCCTAATATTCGCTCGCTCGAAAAGAATCTCCTGCTCTCGGTGTTTCGAGCACTCCGTTGCTAAATACGATCACTTAGAGACGTTTTAACGCATCGTGCGCGTAGCGTCGACTAGACACGAAACAGTGACTTTTTTTTCCATTCTCTCCATCGGCGGCGACGGCAGCGGCGTCTGATTCGAGTTAGCCACACGCCGAGCAAATCAATCACGTCGCACGCACTCGGCACACATGCCGTTAATGTGCACGCGGGGCCACCAGCTAGCTACCCGACGCGTGCAGGGGAAAGGGCCCAAGGATTAGGGTGCGTTTCCGTTTCGAGGATAATTACTCGTCGTGTCTCTCGCCTTTCTGATCTCCGCCAGCGGGGGCTGGATATGCCGCTCTAAATAGGGAATCAGCTCCGCCCGGTAATCGACGCCGACGAGAACACGTTCAAGAAGACGAACAGGATTCATTATCGGCTCCTTCGCCGCGACTGCTGTGTCCCCGCTATCTTCGATTCCGAGGTCCTATAATTAACCGGCTCGCCTCGCCCGCGCTCGGGTTAACCGGCCAAATTGTCGTACCGCGTTTGACTGACGCGGCTATTTCGGTGATCCCGTAGAAATATTGTTAGCTACCGGATAGAAAAAAAAAAGCCGAAATGTTTTAGCGACGGAAGGGAGAGATGGCCGACCACGCTGCTCCAGCTGCAACCTTTCTTCACGCTCGGGGACACCTCGTTTCTGTGGTCTCATGCCGCGACGCCTGGATTCCAGCATTTCCTCTTCACCTGTAACAGGGGGTGGCTTTGATCGCTCTCCTGGCACCGTTGGATCCTCGATTAACCGGATTTGATTTCACGGTTCATCGGTCACCGATCCCCCGAGCGCCGAATCTATTAGGTCGGCTCATAAATAACTTCCGTTTCTTTTTTTCTTATCAGACATTTTTATCTCGTTCCTCTCATTTGTATCTTTGTTTTCTTTTAGTTTATTGATTATTATTATATATTATATAATATATAATATATATAATATATATATACTTTGTACTTTGTTAATCTTCACTGTACACCTTGCTTAAAAATTTCATATGTTACACACGAGGTGTCATGCACATTAGAAAATTAAAACGGCCGTCACGGTTAAATTACTTATTATTTCGGGTTAGAAAAATTAGTAAATATTCTTCAGACGTTCTAAAGTAAAGGTGAACAGCGTTTTTCTTAAAAATATCACTGTTATGTAGTAAAAAAATCCGGAAAGTTCACGCTTCGTGACTTGTTCAATACTTCGAACGCGGCTCGAGTCCGTCCCGACCATCTGTCAAAGCCTCGTACTGCGGACTCTCGAACTTCGCGCCGTCACCTCTCATTGGCCAGTGTTTTTCGTTAATAACTCGTAAACAAAGCCGCAAATTGCATTTTCGCAAAGGAAAAAGTTACTTCAAATGACCTCAGCTACCCCTCATTTTCGGCTGTTAAAGAAATTGTGGACCACCCTATATATCAAAGATACCGCGATATATCATCGCCGGTGTCGTTAGAACACACCGCGCTCTGACTGTTAGTGATCCCAGTACCGCGTGTACAATGTAAGACGCGACGAATGACCGTCTATGATTGGTGGAGAAGACGACACCAAAAAGGGTATATAAGCAAGCGATTTTCAGTTGCCGGTCTCTCAGTTGATTTTGGAATTATATATTCTTTTAGTTTATTTAGTTTATTTATTGAGTTTATTTATCTCGAACCCTCGACTATTTAGCGGAAACAATAACTCGTAGTTTCTTTTTTAAGTTGAAGCAATTTTGTCATCGATTTTGTCGGTCCGGTCGTCTACAAGACACAGATAGGATTTTAATAAGATTTTAATCAGGAAATTTTGAATAAGAAAATTTTACTAAAAATAGGAGAACACGATGCTCGTTACTTTTTCACATAAAATGTTCGCTCACCGTGGAGTGTTGTTCATTCGTTGAACAGATTCACCCTATTTATAATAAATAATTTTATAATCTATTAAATAATTAATTAATTAATTAATTTATTGAATATATAGGAAAAATTGCCCAACGTTTACGAAATTCCAAGCAAAAAGGAAGAACAAACGACAAGGAAAAGAAGGAGAAAATTAAGGAGGAAAAAGGAGAAAATTCCGCGTCCGCAAAGAAGCTCGACGGCTCCCTCCCGTGCTTGCATTCGGGATCAGGAAGGATCAGAGGATCGGGGGAACGAAATTCGGCTGTCGGAAGCATTCCGTGTCGCCCGTGAAAGGAGGAGATCACGGATCGGAGCACGGATTTCGGGGCGCGACGAGACGGTCGTGCCGAAATGAAATTTCGCCGATAAAGTTCTCGCTGCTTTCGGGGACGGGTGCCGGACCCGTGTCAGCGGCAACGGCGATCGATTCGACGTCCTCGTGCTCCTCGTCGATCGTCTGCGAGCCGTGGACGCCATGTGGCTGTCGCGCGGCCGCCGCGACGTCGAGAAAATCGCGAGCGACGCGACAGGAACTTGACGACTGCGAGCGCGAGGGCGCACTTGCGCGGGTAATTATCGAGCGACGCATGCAGCGTGTGTCCGCTCGTCTCTGGAGGATTAATTAACTCGTTCTGCCCGGTGGACACCGGCTCATTATGTGCATCGACGGGCTACGCTCCGGCGCGGCGTGGCGCGACGCGGCGCGGGTCTTCCACACGTGTGCGGCTCGCGCTTATTCCTCGCAGACTCCTCACCTGTCCCTGGGGAGACTGCTACATATTCCGAAGTGTGGTGGGCATATACGATGCTGGAATAGGAATTCTAGGCTCATTGTTATCGGCCTGACCGTCGCGCGCGATTACCATCCCCCTCCTCTCGCCCCTCCATCCCGTGCAGCCGACGCAGTCGTTGACACCCGGCTGCAACGTGTGTCCAATTATCCATGCGGAACGAGTTGCTCCGTATAATTGAAATGTGCTGCCTCGGGAGCCGCCGAATGTAAGAACGCGGAAACTTAAACCGGAACGGGGCGCTCGTCGATGATGCGTTTGGAAGACGAAAAAGTGTACCGCGGATCTTTGTGCGAAATTGGAGGGTGAGTTGATTTGAAAGAAATAGAAGTTAAGGGAAAATTAATCGTTGCTTTTGATGATCTTGTTAAGTCAACGATAGGGAAATTGCAGTTTTATATTCTTACAATATCTTCACGGTTTTGTACTGAATCTGTTCACTTTCGTTTTGAATACAAGAAATTCGATATAATAACATGAGAATTATGTTTCTCGAAATAATAATATAGGAAATTGTGTTATTCGAAATATTAACGTAAGAATAATAATATAATATTATTTGAGATAACGACATAAGAATTATGTGAGTGAAAAAGCTGACTATAGTAAATTCTCTCCAATTGTCCCTCGGCTTGTGAACTTCGGGAATAGGAGATGCGATTATTTGAGTCTCGTCGGCTCGTTGTTTCATAGTTGTTGGCAACCGGTGACTATAAAAATCGTATAACTATAATAACTGTAATAGATATAATTACTATAATATATAACAACTATATAATAATCGTATCTCCTGTTCCCAAATTGTCTATTTTTGTTTACAAGTTCAGGGACAATTAGAGATCATTTCTAACCTCGTACATTTCTCCCTTTCTCGTGCTCATTTTCTTTTCCTTTCTTTTCTACATTCATTTCTAAATTCATATTCTCTCTCTCATTCTTTCTCATTCATTCTCTGCCTCTTTTTTTCTTCCTCACTCTCTGCCTTTCTTTCTCTCTCTTTTTTTCTTCCTCTCTCTTTTCTCTCTTCTCTCTTTCTCCGGTTCTCTTTTCTCTCTGTTTCTCCGGTTCTCTTTTTTCTCTCTTTCTCTCTCTTTTCTCTTTTTCTCTCTCTTTTCTCTCTTTCTCTCTCTTTTCTCTCTTCTCCCTCCTTACTCTTTTCTCTCTCTCTCCTCTCCTCTCTCTTTTCTCTCTCTCTTCTCTCTTCTTTCTCTCTCTCTTCTCTCTTCTTTCTCTCTCTCTCTCTCTCTCTCTCTTTCTTTCTATTTCCCTCTTTTTCTCTCCCTTTTTCTTTTTCCATTTTTCTTTCTCTCACACACATATTCAATTTTAACTTCATACAGTTCTCTCTCTCTCTCTCTCTCTCTCTCTCTCTCACTGTATCTCTCACACATACACATTCATTCTTAATCTCATATACCGCTTTCTCTCTTTCTCCCTTTCTTTCTCTCACATTCGTGCCCAACATCAAACACAATCGCCCGCACATTTCAATAAGAACAACCCCGCAGCGCGTGATCGCGTCGATCCGTAAAAAACACGATCGAATCAACGTTATCCCAAGATCAGACACTCACCCCCCCCCAACCCCTCCGTCCACGAACAGTGTGCATCGATTGCGTACAATCCACGCGTCCTTGATGTTCGGATCCCG